GTAAGCAAGGTAGCACCCAATCCGCCCGCCCAGAAAGCCCCGCCCGCCCAGTCGGCCCCGCCCGCCCAATCGGCCCCGCCCATGCCCATACACAAACCCGTCCCCAAAACACTGCCCGCGGCCCCCAATTCGCATTGGTCGCTCGCTTAGCCAGCACCATCGACCCTAACGAGATTGCCCTTCTGGCCTCCAAGCTCCGCCTGTATAAGGAGTCGCCCCAAAATAGGCTCGCAGCCGTCTGCGAGCACATCGGCGTACTTACCGCCATCCTCAATTTTAACCTGTAATTATGGGTACTCGAGCTCAGAGAGAAAAGCCTCGGTCCGTTCGAATAGCGTTTTTTAACGCGTTCGGATTAAAAAAACAAAAGAAGGAAATCGCCTCCTTTCTCACTGACCACCAAGTCGATATTCTCCTCGTGCAGGAGACCCTACTGAAACGGTCAGTCCGCGATCCTAGAATCGCCAATTACAACTTAGTTAGGAACGACCGCACCGCCTGTAGAGGCGGCGGTACGCTCATATACTATAAACGGTCCCTACATTGTATACCGCTACAAACACCGCCTCTCACTCATATGGAGGCCTCCGTCTGTCTTCTCGGCATGACCGGCCACCGACCGCTCGCCGTGGCATCCGTATATCATTGCTGGAAAGCGACCTACGCGCCCTCCTAGATATCAACAGCGCCACCATTCTGGCTGGCGATTTGAATTGTAAACACACCCGCTGGAACTGCCACGTGTCCACGACAAACGGCCACAAACTAGACAGACTAGCCGACTCGCTCGAATTCGAGATAATCGCCCCGCTCCGCCCTACTCATTATCCCCATAACGTGAACCACCGACCCGACATACTGGACATGGCACTGCTGAGGAACGTAACCCTACGGGTGAGCTCCCCAGAAGTCCATGCCGAGCTTAACTCGGACCATCGACCGGTAACCCTCCTTCTGGGCCCTCCGCCCGACACGCCACTACCAACCAAAACAATAACAGACTGGCAACGACTCGAGAAATCTCTCGAATCGACCGACACACCGATACTAAACCGTATTCCCGACGTCATAGAGTCCACCGAGGACACTCTCATTGCGATCGACTCGCTTACTAACCACCTGCAGTCAGCAGTCAAGGACTGCTCCAGGGAGGTACCGGCGACGGACGACCGTCGCTGGCAGCTCCCGGATGACGTAAGGAGGTTAATAAGCGATAAGAACGCAGCCACTAGAGCGTACGATCGCTACCCCTCCGAACCGAACCGGGTGCGCCTGCGAGCCTTACAGCGTAGCGTTAAGGAGCGCATCGCGCAGATCCGGGACGGCCGGTGGGGCAATTATAGAAGAGATAACGCATAATAATCATGCCACACCGCGTACTGGCGCATAGCGAAATCTCTCAAAACCGACCAATAGACAAACGACATGCCCCCGCTAGTCCGACCCGACAACACTATAGCCTTCTTCGACGAAGACAAGGCTGAGTGTCTAGCGTCCAACTTAGAAGCCCAATGCTCCCCCAGCACGCTCCCAGTCGAGGCAGGTCATCTCGAGAAGATAGACACCGAAGTCGAACGCATCGCGTCCACCCCGCCCACCAAATCCCTCTCACCAGTCACGCTTGATGAGGTCAAAACGCTAGTTAAACAACTACCTATCAAAAAATCACCCGGCTCAGATGGCATATCGAATAGATTAGTCAAAAGTCTGCCATCCCAACTTTTGTTATACATTTTTAACGCGGCGCTGTCCAACGCTATATTTCCAGACAGCTGGAAAGAAGCCGTGGTCATTGGCATTAAAAATAAATCCGACCCGTCCAGTTATCGTCCTATCAGCCTCCTCAAGGCTATAGGCAAGCTGTACGAGCGAATCCTCTTAAAGGAGTTTATATACTCCAAAATGAGCAGTTTGGCTTCCGAGCCAAACACTTGAGTCCATCAAGTGCTCACGGAGCACATTCACAAAAACACTGGCGGTACAGGCGTTCTATTTTTCGATGTGGCTAAGGCTTTCGATAAAGTCTGGCACAACGGCTTGATTTACAAGCTAGCCTGTCGGGGACACCAAAAAGTCATAAGTCCCCGACAGGCTAGTACTCATTGTACGAGATTTCCTGTCGAATCGCTCTTATCGCTACCGTATAAACGGAGCGTTATCCGACCCGCACCCCATATGAGCCGGCGTCCCTCAGGGCGCCGTCCTCTCTCCGATGCTCTACTCGTTGTACACCAACGACATCCCCAAATTCTCCGACTTAAAAGTCGAAATATCGCTGTTTGCCGATGACACGGCTCTCTTTACATCCGCCAAGTCCCGTGCGACAATAGCCAGACGGCTTCAGAAAGCCGTAACGATACTGGGCGAATGGTTCCGTCGGTGGCGCATAGAAGTCAATCCCGAAAAAAGTGCAGCAGTGAACTCTATGAATCACCCGATCGAACTATTCGGCCAAAACATCCCGTGGGTTTCGAAAACGAAATATCTCGGCGTCACCCTAGATAGGAAACTAACGTTTCGTCCTCACATCAAGCGTGTCCGCGACCGAGCCGCCTTTATACTAGGGCGACTCATTTTATTAACAAGCACAGTAAAATGTCGCTTCGCAACAAGCTGACATTATACAAGGCTATCCGTCCCATCATGACCTACGCTAGTCCCGTATTCGCCCACATACCCTACTGCTTAATCAACAGACTGCAGGTCATTCAGAATAGGTTTCTGCGTCGAGCCACCGGTGCGCCGTAGTTCGTTCGCAGCGTAGATCTCCACCGCGATCTTAATCTGTCCTCCATCAAGCAGTTTATGAAGGAAGCGTCTCGACGCTACTTCAACTCTGCCCAATCCCACCCTAATCCGCTTATAGTCAGTGCGGTCGACTACGCACCGAGGAGTAATATCCGACATACGCGACAACGTCGCCCGAGGCACGTTCTCATTGATCCCGACGACCCCATAACGGCAGGTAACCTCCCCACGGGCTCACCCGTTCCACCCCGACCACACTTTTACACACACACACGACACCGTCCTCGCCGGCGAAGACGACGACCTCAAACACACAATATCGCGCATTCAACCGGGCGCCTGCGCGCGCCCGGGCGCTCCACACCGGCGCCCCCGGGCGCCCCTCCCATCGATCCCCCGTCCAATTCAAACGGGGATCGAAATTACGACGGCCTGAGCCGAGGTTCGAACCCCTAGTGGTGCCCTCAGACTAAAGTCGTATCCGTCGGGCAGGAGTTGGCCTTCAGCCGCTCCATAAGTCCTTCCGCGGGTTTGGAGTGCCATCTGCACTCGCCCCATAACGTCCGGTGAAGCTGTAAAGGCCAGCTACGGCCAATAGCATTAGAGTAGTCCGAAAAAAAAAAAAATCTTACCTGTGTTGGGGACACACATACAAGAACTTTCACGTTTACTAAAATGACGTATGTCTGGCCGTCGTGGGCTCTTGCTCTACTACTCATGTAGCTGCTTATAAATTTTTAATTCCTTTTCACGTATATTACCTTCGGTTGTACTTGTATGGGATATTTACACGTGTTGCGAAGGACATGATGTTTCCTATGAATTTTGTATTACTATCGAGTATTTTGATATGTCACTTACTCATACTAATATAATAAATGCGAAAGTGTGTTTGTTTGCCTGCCTATTTACTTTTTCATGATTAAACGGCTGAAGTAATTATTTATATAGTTAAACGGGTTTTTAACATAAACAATATTATGGTAAATTAAATTAAACCCACTTTAACTATATTAATAATATATACTTAATGCGAAAGTTAATAAAAAATAAGGGTGAAGGAATCTTAATGAAGTTTGATGTGAAAATAGATTACCTATATCTATCACGAGTATTACTTACATAAACTTTTTAGAAACAAGAGGAAGAATTTTATCTTTGTATGTATTAAGTATACTGATCTACGGATAAAAAAAGGTTTACATTTTAACGTAAGTTTTTATTAATAACATTATTGCCGTTATAGGTACATGCTACGCATCCGTCATTGTAAATCTCAACCTCTTCCATCATCTTCAAATGTCATTCGCTTACTTCATTTGCAGATACGATAGTTAGTTGCATATTAATATGGAGCAAAGATGACGATATTCAAGCTCTCAAATAAAGTGAAAGGTCCCTAAACTTTTCGTTTCTGATACTACTTGCTATATTTACAGTTTTCAGTAGCTCCCTGCTAACTTAATACTAGGTGTTTTATTCTTTTTAAATAATGAAAGTGTAACAAATTGACAGACAGACATACTTTTACATTAATAATATTAGTACGAATGATTGAAGATTTGAATTTAATCAAGACCAAATGTATGTATTTGTGACAACTAGTAAACAGTTCTTTTCTTTTTTTATGTTAAGTATTTTTTATAATTTGATGGAAAACAATAAAATACACCAACAGTTTTGTAGGAGATTTTAGTTTCAATGAACAAGGGAGTTTATTTCTAACTGTACTGTGAAGATCGTAAAAATACGTAGGTATTAAGTTTTATACCTTTATTAATAAAATTCTAATTAAAATTTAAGTAATATTTGTTACATAAAATAATGAAACAAAAGATGAATAGATATTTTTAGTGGGAAGGCTGATTCTGCAAAATATGCCACCATTTTTATTATCTATATATTTCACTATTTTAGTTATACCTACCTAGTCGACAATAAATTCTCAAATATACGAGAAAAACCCATGTACAAATAGTAGTCGTTAAAATGATATAACATACTCTACAAAGAAATATTTAGAAATCTACCTACGTACAGCAAATGTAGGTCGGGTACACAACAGTAATAATTTATAAGATTTTTTGAGAAATATAAATTTTAACGGAGTTCTGCAATAATTCTTAATATAACTACTTACATCCTGAAGTTGTACATACATGTGATGGGAGCGTTTATCACCCAACTTTGAGGATATCAAGCTGCGCGAAATTTCTCTCTATATACGAATATAATCTGAGGTTTGTACTTACCACTTAGTGAAATGAAAATCGCACTGCTTACGATGAGCATATCCCAAGAAAAGCGGTACATCTGAGCCTGAATCATTTGTATCACAACTTTACTTACTTACTAAAATGTTAATTGACTGCATATATGATTAAATATTAATATATTTAATTTCCATACAGATCAAAAAAATCAAAATTTTCTTTTGTAAGTATAATCGTTAGAAAGCACTACAATAATAATGGTATAGTTAATTCAGGCAAGCGGGTAAGGTACTTCGAGTGTAACAAGTACAGTAACAATGCACGATGTCGTATGTGGCCCGTTCTCGAATCGTGTGTGGCCGTCATTCTTACTGTCCGGTGGTTGTAGCTTCTGTCCGCAGTTCGTGACGTGGCTAGCTACGTAGCCGTATATTCAATGACGCACTAAGATATATTACTTAAGGTTTTTAAAGATGACTGTTTGGAAAATCAATAGAATTATAAAATAATATAGGTATACTACAAATTACCATGCAAGGGTATTTAATAATGCACTTGTCTCATTGTACGTTACATTTCATTAAGTATCTACCCTTGTTTTCAAAAACAGATTCTTACTGTTTTAATTATTTAATATATAAGATAATGTAATGTTTACAGCGGAACAGGGATGTGAACATACGAGTATGTAGTACATACTTCAAGTTTGTGAAGTAAACAGAAATTTATTTTAATCTGTCACAAGTAAGGACACCAGAAGTTGTCGAGGGCCTCGGTTTATATTTATAGTCTACATCCATACCAAAGATGTTAGCATACGATCAAAGTTTAAAGTTCTAAGACATTTTAGAATAAGTTTTGTTATTAAAGTAATATTTTATTTAAATTTTAGTTAATTAATAGTAAGGATCTAGATTAAAGACGTGTGTAGTAACATAAATGTTACAAGATGCAAGTTGCTTATTTAAAAAAATATTTTTTTTAATTCAGTGATCGATATAAAAATATGTTTCTATATGTATATGGAATATACAAACAAACGAAATACGCGCGGAATCACATAAAATGCTACGATTAAAACCAAGACTACACGGATCTTCTTCATAATAATGTTAAACAAGTGACTTTTACGATATAATACATTCTTGTTAAATAAATGTAAAATTATGTATCTAGACCTAACGTTGAGAAAAAGTGTAAAATATAAGAACATAACACAACCGACTACATGTACTACTTTACTTAATCCTGTATTTATGGTACCTACCTAGTAGCACTTAGCTACATGTAAACTCTAGTTTTTTCGCCGTGGATTATAAATTGTCGAATTGAGACCTTACTAATTTTTAGCATATAGTAGAAAAATTAAAATTATTGTAGTAGTTATTTTATTTTGTTATTTCGTAAAAACCTACCCTATGTATAGACTAGACTGCATTATCACAAATACTCTTTTCTGACTGTGGTTTGTTTATAGGTACTTATCAATGAATAAAAAGTTTCAAGTAACATAATGAATTTATATTACAATATGAATGCCCATTTATTTTCCCGAGGCGACGTTATTTTCATCTTGTTTTCCCTTTCCCATAAAGTAGCTTCTTTGAAAATAAGAATGCTTTTTAGAAAATACGACCGTATGGGGACAATAAATTGAATCGTGAATAAACACTTCTAAGTAATAGATTACTACGTGGACTTGTGACTTCGCCATACACGGTGCGGCGACTTTAGAGTACGGTTTCAATGCGATAACTAAGTTGATGTGAGTAGAAAATAAATAATGATTTGCAGTCTTAATGCAGTACGTAGGAATATGCATGACTGATATCATATTGACTAATTTCAAATGATAATAATAGTGTAAAAATATATATGCTATAGTATAGTACCTATTAAATTTATGAGTCTATATATCTAGTTTCATACCTATAGCCTACTATCGGATGCGCAACCTGAAGGAGAACGGGGCTGCATATTCCTTGTACTACCAATTATTTATCTTATTCTTGTATTCTTCTTAACTCTCTCATTATTTGAGAGTTATTAACAAATCCTTCCAAAACTATCGGCGTGAGTTGTCACTCGTTGAGCTGAGTTCCCAAATTGGAATATTGAAATAAGTTTTCAAAACATTCCTGCTGTCATATGATCATTAAATTATCTACAATAAAAATAGAAAAAATATTACAGTGAATGTAGCTTAGTTTCACAAAATTACCTGACTTTTGGTTTGGTGTAGTCTTTACGACTAACGCTGTATATCGTGACATGTAATGATTTTCTAATTTAGGTATGACGTCTATGACGTTCAGACAATTACTACTTCTATTATTGGTAAAATGGGTTATGGTATTATAGGTAAATATAAAAATTCTATAACGGTCAACAAAGCACAAACAATACAAAAGACGATAATGTACGTCACGCTATATTGTGAACGTGTATTGCATAGTATGACGATATCGTAGACGGAAAATTAATAGCTGCTTCGTAAATTCCAATCATTTTTGATTTCTTATTATATCGTTACGAACAATCTACATTGGTTATGCCATGATACAGTAAAAAGCGTCTAAATATGACGATATATTTTTCAAAATATGATTACGATAATTTTTATTTTATAGTCACACTAAAATAAGTGTAATTGGCATGGTATAACTTTAATTGACGAAATCAAATCCAAAGCACATTATATTCTATTTTTGTAGAAGTTTAACTGAAACTCAAATATTATACAAATGTAAATGAATTAATTTTAACATATATCTGCGAAGCACACTTTTGACAAGGATATGCTTAAAAACATTCAAATATCATTAAGTAGGTAGATACATAGGTCGTTTCGATGCGATTTAGATTTAATTCTGATGATATAACATTTGAAGTTAGCTTGTTCGACCTTCTTTAGTGTATTTATATTTTATATCTATTTATGTATACTTTAGACATGAAAAATTCTCATAATACACCCAGATAATAATAAGAATACCGTTAAGCTAGAACACTGTAATCACGTGTGTAATACCGTAATCTCTGGGTTATGTATAGTAATGAAAAGATCGTGACTAGACTGTTTGGAAAATACTGCCATGTGGAAATTGTAACACAATTTTTTTTAATAGCGGATTTATAGATTGCTTTGAAAATATCGGCCCTTATAAAATTGTTTGTTAAAAAAGTATATTTAAAGTATTTGCTTTGATGCTTTATTCGTGTATGTTTAGATTTGAAAATTGTCACAGGTGAGAGGTTATATATGGCGTCACGCGGGTAAACCCATGGGAAGTAGCCAGTGTTATATAATAACGATTCTGTTTTCTCAAAAACTTTTCTGGCGAAAGAAATAAAGGTGTGCAGCATGATTGTTATCTTGCAAGGCCGCATTGTGATTCAATGTAGGTCATCGCTCGTGCACTATGCTGCAATGCGACGCCCCTTGCAGCCGATTCATTAATGATGTGCTCTGCTCACTGCTCCAGATGAATATACCGCTACCTACTATTTCGGATACTGCCCAATATGTATTTAATAGCAACAAGAAAGAAATGACGGTTTTAACTTACGGCCTCAAATATCAATAGTCACGAGTTTAATCCTCGAATAAAACATTTATATTATTGATATTGTATTCATCCATATTTGTATTAGTCTGACTGTATTTTCATATAATTTAAGTAATAGTGTTCTATATAGTAGTCATAGTACAAAGTCTGTTTAGTGTTTAGGTTAAGATTAGATGAGTGTCTGAGTTCTTAAGGTATAGATATTTATTTGGCAACAGCTTACGCAGCATATTTTCAGATAAATCGTTTTATAATTTAGTATATAGGCTATAACTATTTATTTTATTTAAAAACTCATTTCTCGGGTTAGATACATATGTCGATAAACTTAGAACGCATAACGATTTTCATTCAAATCGTTATGGAGCCGTTTCCGAGATAATGTATACATATCTACAACAATTGTTCGTTTTATTTTATTAGATATAACCGGTTTGCGGGAATATAAGGATTTATTCCACATAAAACGGATTTCGTACAATCGTAAGTAAACTGGCAGTAGCGATACCTTTCTATCTATTCCTATACAATGGAAATCGGTTATATTGTATATGTAATATTAAGTTAATTTTGAAGATTTTTACAGCAATGGCAAACAAGCGGATTGTCCACTTAATGAAAAGTAACCGTGGACTACGCATATCTCGTTACATGACAAAGTGTAAAGTTCCGATGTGATTCCTAAAGATTAAGGTGTTGAGCCTTGGTATCGTGTAATTTCATTAGATAGATATAGATAGATAGATAAATCGGTCACCACTACCTTTAAACTAGTACACCATTTGTATGGTTAGCAAGCTGCTGGCGGTAGGTGAGACAGAGGAACTCACGTAGACGACTTTGTACAAAGTCTTCGAATATACATCATTATTTATTCTTCACCAATGGCTGTGCATTACCGTATGCTTGTTTTTATATCTTATGAATATAAGTACATGAGCGTAAATACATTACCTACCTACACTCTGGAAGTGTTTAAGCTTCGCTACACGATTTATTAAAGGGTCGACAGCTCCTCGTTCCGTCTTCATTTGACGTACCTCCGAGTTGGGCTCAGGTCCCAAGTGTCCTGGGGTTGCGATAAATGGCACTATTTGTATAGATTTGTGTCTACGTTTGGGGACCGAGCATAAAAGGCACGATCTAATGCAAACTTTTAAACTGTTAACAATAAAATTAATGACAATAGTAAAATTATATAATAATACGTCAATCTTTTCCTTGTTATTGTTGCTATAGTTTCTAGTTTTTTAATATCTACATCTTTAAATTTATATCTATTTATCGGGGGTTTTTTTTTTAATTTTAATAAAAATATAATTTATTAGTTTCAAATTTATATATTTCTAAAATTAGAAGGTCTTATATGTCGTAATTATATCTTACAGCGTACGACATTATATACTATAATATAGGTATATTTTGTTCAACACTTTAATACATAATAATAATAAATGTAATAAAGAGTACGGCGCGCATGAAAATCCACTTAAGTAGAATGCATATGAAAAATGAATACATCACGATGGTAACACCAGAGAATATTGTTCATAGTTTTGTCTGGCAAGTTTTGTACCTATAT